AAGAGTTGTTTCTTTTCCTGTAAATTTGTTTAAGTTACATGTAGACTCTGGATATTAAACCTTTGTCAGGTGGATAGACTGCAAAAATTTTCTTCTATCCCGTAGGTTGTCTTTTCACTCTGATGATAGTTTATTTTGCTGGGCAGCAGCTCTTTAGTTTAATAATTTGACCATAACTCAACATGATCAAATGTAACATAAATATATGTAGAAATACATATTCTGTTCTATTGAGCTCAAAGAAAAGAATTGGGAAAGGCTTCCTGAAGTGTCTAACATTTAACCTAGGTCTTAAAAGATGAGTAGACGCTTTCAAAAGGCAAGTTAAAAAAAAAAAAGAATTCCAGACAAAAGGAACCCGCTTATGCAACAAGAAGGCATAAAAGAGCAAAACAGATCTGGTAAACCATGAAAGATTACGCATGGTGCAACAGATGGTATAAAACAACCCAAACCACTCAAACCAGAAAACATTATTCCAGGCCTCTTTACCCCACACTTTTGATTAGGAACTGATAAGGTATCTTGTGAAATTCTCTTTTCTCCATTCCCAGTTCTACCATTTTACCTCTCTTAACTTTTTACTTTTTTTTTTTTTTTTGCCATGGATATTACAAGTTTTCTAATTGGCATCCAAGTCTCCCCACTTTCATTTTAGGCTACAGGGTCACTGAAATGAATTGTCTAAAATACAAATCAGATCAAACAATCTCCTTGCTTAAAGTCCCATATGGTTCTCCAGCACTTAAAGTTCAACATTATTGGCACAATGCACAATTTCCTATATGACTCTACCTACCTTTTCAGACTGATGCCCTATTCTTTTTTTTTTCCACAATTAACAAATTTTTTTTTTATTTCAATAGGTTTTTGGGAAACAGGTGGTGTTTAGTTACATGAATAAGTTATTTAGTGGTGATCTGTGGGATTCTGGTGCACTCATCACTAGAGCAGTGTACACTTAGTGTGTGGTTTTTTAACCCCCACCCCGCTCCCATCATTTCCCCTTTCCTCCGAGTCCCCAAAGTCCATTGTATCATTCTTATGTATTTGCTTCATCATAGCTTAGCTCCCACTTATGAGTGAGAATATCTGATGTTTGGTTTTCCATTCCTAAGTTACTTCACTTAGAATAATGGCCTCCAATTCCATCCAGGTTGCTGCGAATGCCATTACTTCATTCCTTTTTATGACTATGTAAGAAACAAGCCTTTGCTTTTAAACCTTGTAATTCATCACCTTGTCAAACAGGAAGCACAGTTTCATAAGAATCCTATTAAGATAGGTGTGGTGGCTCATGCCTGTAATCCCAACACTTTGGGATTACAAGGCAAGTGGATCACTTGAGGTCAGGAGTTCAAGATCAGCCTGACCAACGTGGTGAAACCCCATCTCTATTAAAAATATAAAAATTAGCCAGGTGTGGTGGTGGGTGCCTGTAATCCCAGCTACTCGGGAGGCTGAGGAAGGAGAATTGCTTGAACCCGAGAGGCGGAGGATGCAACGAGCAAAAATTGCACCACTACACTCCAGCCTGGGTAACAGAGTGAGACCCTGTCACAAAAAAGAAAAAAGAAAGAAAAAAATCCTAACAAGCCATCAAGAGACCTGGGCTTTATATACCCTCTTGATGTATTACCTTAGGCAAATTACCTAATTATTTAGTACTGTTACCCATGTGTAGGACTGAAGCAACAAAATGCTCTCCCTATCTACCTTAAAGAGTGGTGTTCACATTAAATCTGTATAAGTACTAGGAAAAACTGGAAGTCTTAATACATGGTTCTTTAGCAAAATGCCTATGTAGATAGAAATTTCAAATGCAGACAAAAATTTGATTCATTTTGCATTACAATCACTGAATTGTGACTATATGCTATATGGGTTAACAAGTTTTCAATAGCAGGACTACATTTAAGATGTATAAATACATTTTGGCATATCAGAAAAACAAACAAAACAA